GGAGGAAGACAAGTCATGTATGTAGAACGCAAATATCCATATAAATAAAAAAATAGTGAGTACAATTGGCATATTCATGACCAGAGGAGAGATTATCTCATTTTCGCAGTTGTCAAAATGAGAAAATCGTATTTAAAAACACACTAGTATTGTGTTAGATTCAAATGCATTAGTATATGTGGATGTAATTGCATTAGAAAATCCTTCAACTACGTAAGAGGGAGAATAATGTTTCTAGTTTGAAAAAAATATGAAAATAATTATTACGTTGTTCATATTTATTATTCGAATAATTTATAGTGGGACAGTCGCAAAAATATTAAATACGAGTTCGTTACCGTTTCAGCAATTTCATTAATTTTAGGAAGTAACGGTTTGAGGCGCCAATTGCCGTATATTGACAGGGTAAGTATTTCATTCTGATCTTTAAGTTAATTAATCAGTGAAATTTTTAAGTAATTAAATAGTATTTCGTGTTACAGTAATTTAGTAACATCTCAAATTAACTTCCTCTCAGATAATAAAAGGAAATATTGCGATAAATAGGCTACGTCAAGTGAGAAGACTCCATAGAAGCTTTGTTAGCTACGTTACGTAATCGTGCGGACAGGTGGTAACAGAACGCGAAGATTTCATTTGCAAGTACGACATACTATATCATATTAATAGATAAATAACCTAATAATTCAAATAACGGATTTAATTTAAGTTACACAAAAACTTGGCATTATTAAATACAAAAATTAGCTCAAGGACCAACATGTTTGTTAATTAGATCAATGAGTAATGTTGCATTCTTTTATTTGAAAGAAGACAATTTCATAGTAAATTGAAAAACTTAAAACCATTTTATTTATAATTTTTTCAAGAAGTCGTCGGTTCGTATAAACATCAGTCCATCAGCATACGGTTACTTAAGTGTTAATTAATCCTATGTCGAGACTCATGAATTAGGATAAGCAGAACATTAAATATAATTGAATGTTAGCCGGAAATACAATGTTTGCAACGCAGGGCAATAATAAATAATAAATAAAAAATAAAAATTAATAATGCAAAAAACGCTTTTTCTTTTACAACCGAATAAAAATATAAATCTTCGTATTATACACCTTGCAAGAACTTTAAAAGTAAACAATTAGTGAGGACGTCACACTATACAAAATATAGCAATATATATTTCTTTGATGGTTAATGAATACTGCTTGGGTACTCAGTTCGAGTAGTACGGTACACTACGAACAAACGTGTACAAGTTTCATTGATCTCAAATTTAGGGAGTAAATTTCGTCACGTTTGATGCAGAGGAGTGATACGTAGACACTGCACGTTTCTGTACGCATGCTTTCACGACCTCTTGTGAATATTCCATAGTTATCTTTAAAATCAACAGGCTGAGTATGCATCAATTTGATATACTTTTAGAGTGACCACCCACCCTTCCAAACCAGCCTACCTAACTTGCTATATACTTACCCGACCCGGCTACCTCACTAAGAAGTCATTGTTCCCTCCCCCCTCTATCCCCCCTCGATTTTTACCCAGTTACAAGATTAAACACACTGGAATCTAGCCGATTGCATCAACCTTTCTTCTGCTCGAAAGTAATAAACGTACCTCTTACCACCCCACGACCTTCCAAATCCTAAAATATCACGTTACCTACACACCCTGGCCAACCAAATGCTAATCATCGCAACTTTTCTCTCTATACACTCACCCATTTACCCAAACAAATGCAACCGAGCAATATATAGTACATCACCGTTAACACGAATTCTGATGTTCAAATTTTTAAAAATCCTCGTTCGTACATGTTTCATCCTAAAAATTTAGATATCTCTTCTGTTTCCTTACGGAGAACCGCGTTATGTAGTGTTGTACATCATAAGCACGCTGCTTAATATGTTTGATCCAATTCAAGAACCCTCTAGAAAAAGGTCCTGTTCCGTTAAGCGGTACAGGGTCGTTCATATCGACATTTTTCATCTTTGCTAGCGTCCTTCAGTCTGCGCAGCGTGTGAATAGCTTGCTCGCGCATGAGGAGAATGCCGTATTTCACGTATGAGCGCTGAGTATTCTCTTACTCAGCCCATTCGGAACTAACCATCGGTTAAAACCTCAGTTCCAACAGCACTTTAGAACACTTTTTACCGCCACTTTAAGAAACCGTGGTTTCTCGGAGGCACGGGAGGGCTTGAATACCGTTTGTCATACGGAGCGCATATGAGGACGACAAAGGTGCGTCTAGGTATATGGCAAACCACTCCGACAAACGAACGCGAGAACTTCCCTCCCGTGAAGACAACCTCTACGAGGTGAGGGATTACGGTGACGGTAGTGTCGCCAGGTATGTTCTAAGCGACCCGATGGCCGTACTGTGTGCGTGTTCTTGTGCCACGGTGGAGGAGGGAAGAGTTAAAGGTACCAGGGCGATCACCCCGACACGGCTCGACTCTTCCCACTAGGTGCCTAGCATTATTCCTATGCGTGTGCAAGCTACAGACACAAACGCTCATTCATTGCCATTTTTCTTAGGCATATCATGGCTCTTCATCCCTAAATAAATACCCCCATCCTTACTCCGAATCAAGCACGTTTCAGCCATTCGCCTACCATAACCAAACAACCTTTAAACGCATCTATTGATAATGACCTACATAACCACGGAAGGAAATATCCATTCACCCACTCATCCAGTCGAGTTAATACGTTAAGGAATTTTGGAAATACACATCCATTAACCACTAACCTACTTAAGCAAATGATTTAACTCGCCAAAAAAATTAGTTATAGATAAATCTCTGCAACCTTCCCGCAAACTTCATTAACCCTAGGTAGATTGAACCTACCAGTCATGTCCAAGGTCTAGGATGAAAGCAGCGCTCATTCTTACAACTACTAAATATATAACTACATTTCTCAACATTGCTTTGCGTAAGTTTTCATACTAAAATAATGCTCCTTTTTATGTTCGTACTATATTTTTAATTAAGCCTCGTTTATATCCTACACGTTTGTACTTTCGTGAAATGATTTGAAGAAACATTACTAGTTGAAAAAAGTAGCAAAATCAAGTTCATGTAAGGGCATAAACAATTTAGAACGCACTAGTAATACTGCAATACTGTAAATTGCACCGAGAGAAACCCAATCGTTGTGATGTATTCGAGATTTTCCTGTCGAAGTTCGAAAATATTGCTTCTAATTTCATTGTTTAGAAAAATAGTGCATTCAACCATTTGTAATCTGAAAAGCCTTAAAACCTAGCATGCATCTCCTCGGTTGCCATTATCAACCGACTGATTTATGGCTTCGGGGCCGTTAATTGTGCTAAAAAATAATTAGAATAGGCGACAATATAATGCCCAAAAATTCTGTACCATTTCTATTTAATTATTTCTGCGCCACGTTGGGCAAGCCATTGAAAATGTTCTCGCAATTTTAATGAATGTAATATAATATGCCAACATGCACAACATTAACAGCATCAACAATAAGTTAACTTTGATTTCTATATGAAATAAAATATATTCCTCTACTTGCTACAATTGCCCTACCTTGCTCATACGCGTCTAGAAATATAACAATTTTTCTGTAATTTAAACATTGTATTGCAGGCTAACTTACATGACCTTTTAATATTTACGTATCCTGTCACTCGAGAATCGGCATACGATTGGTTGATATGTACGTTATTGTATGCGTTCGTACGGAAGTATTTCTGGAAATTTGACCTGAATATTTTTTTATTGCAACTCACGACCTATTTATCTGCCTCATTTCATATAAACAAAACATTCATTTAATTATCAAATTCGGTAACCATTTCTGAGCTCATTTAATTGGAATACATATTAACTTTGTTAATGACCGGTTTTTATGCAATTTCAATTAAATATTCTTTTATTGGTTCTATAAACTATTCCCGCCCTCTTGTTAGCTTTATAGATGAATTCTGGTCTTAGGAAAATGTCCCATGTCCCGTGATGTACCATGTGTCTTCAGACAAGGGTGTAGGGTGTATTACCACCTACTTCATCGCTATTGTTTTACCGTTTCTGTTGAAGAGATATTACAGAATAGCAATAATCCGTAATATCACATTCTGAAATAAGTCCACCGAATGGTAACCCGATTAGCATGTTCGAATAAAATTCATTTCCCTAACAATCAACCTCAGATGAGTGCCCAGACGCGTTACTTGGCAATCATTTTGTAATTTTAATGGATAATGATCTCATTACTAATCCAGATAATATTTTATTAATCACATTATTTGCCCACTACCCGAATATTAAATGTAGCCTACATATAACATTATGATAATCTTGACTTCATTCTCTTACACTTTCAAATAGCAATTAGAAATATCATCCCCTCCTGAACTTGACATCGGTTCCCTCCTATTAAACAGGTCCACATCTAATGAATTCCTATCTAACTAAATAGACTATAGCATGCATATCTACGATCCATTCGACAGGACTGCTACCGTTATAAAGGGGAGGTTTTCCGTCCTCTGACCATGACTACGCCGTCTGTGGACATTTTCCCATCGGCAAGAGACACTGCATTTCCATCTACGCGAGTTATAGTGTACTAAATTTATGTATTTGTATTCCCCGCGACTGCCGTTTACGTTCATTTCCGTAGGAACCCGTTTATGTTTCCCATACTGGAATTTTGCTCTTACATATAAATTGTAATGAATATTATGTTAACTGTATTAACAGGGGAGCGTCTTTTGGCGTATCACACTTTGCTATTTTTAAAAAAAAATAGTTAAGTCTTTCACATAAAAAATACATGTGTCAGAAGCTGAGCGTTTCTCACTTCTGGAGAACGAGACATGGCAATGTTTGCATTGGTCACAAAATCTAGTCGTTTTGTTTATTTAAAATCAATAGAAACGCAATGCTTCAAGAAACAATACTAATGCCGATTGTAGTCAGCGAAATCAAATTGAGAACTGGGCTCTTCCATCTACTTACAGTGGATTAATAGCTGAACAGAAATTGGACCAGGCTTCCCCTCGTGCGGTCAACACAGACGCCCGCTGGAGTCTGCTTACCCTTGGGATGGAGGTCGGCATTGCAGGAGTGGATGAGTGAAGTCTTCCACGCGCTCGAAAGCTCATCTTCCGAACAGAATTCACCTGAAAAAATACAATTTCCCTTCATGTAAAAATGATTTCATTTAGAATAGTCTCGATCGCATTTCAAACATAGAAACCAACAAAATTTTGAACTTATTTTCGCAATATAACACTTATCTTTAGCTCTTACAGCCCCATAATCAAGGTCAATATTCAATTACTTTCTAATCCATCACCTTTTCATGAAAATCAAAAAAGATATTGCATTGTAATGGCATTTCGAACTTTTCAACATGACAGGCAATCGCAATAAAAGTTTCGTATTTATATTGTGACCCAATTTCCTTATTCTTTCTATCACAACTTCTTAGTAACATTTCGACGCGTGATAAGTTTTATAATTTCACTTCCATTTCAAAACCAATTTCATATGTGTAGAAAGTGATCAATTATAACTCTAGAAACTATGGCTACAAAACCAATTTTAAGAGACCCTGCCTCCTCTTTGACGATTTCACTATTCTTCGCGGTGAAGAAACAGTACATGGTCATAATATCGAACATTCAATATTTCGTAATAATTTTTTTTAAACTAAGGAAAATTAGTTTTTCATTTCAAGTACACAACTACATACTCCCAACCTCCATACTCCACAAGTTCATTCCATTGAGAATTCAGAATTCCTTCAGACGGCCTTAAACTCCGTGTTTATTTCGCGAACGTTAATTCCCGGTCGAGAGGAGGCGAAGAAATCTGAGGAAACTTCCTGCGGCCCTCGGCCTTTTAGATTACAGAAAACTGTACGAATAAGCTAATACTATCCACGTACTTTCTGTATCCTGTGTGCCGCTTCATGAAGCAAGGAATCCAACCATTACCTTAATGCTTTATTTACGAATCAGCCGTTTTTGTGACTACTGGCTTTCTCATGGGGTAACAATTTCAATACATTGTTCATAATTAAAACTCGTCGTATCAATACACCAAATGTTTCAACAGCAATTAGATATAACATACGGACATTAACAATACTGCCAATAAAAAAAATGAAAAGCTCTACACAAGTTGGAGCAAGGAAGTAAATGCCAAATAAAATAATTTCTGCTGCAAAACCGTTTCTATACATTTGGAATCTAAATAGATTACCAAAACGAATATAGCGTGCATTGAAATATTACTAATTGTGCGCTTTTTATCGATCTCAATGGGGTTGTTAGTATAGAATACATTTTAATAAATTATCTTTCTCCACGTTCTCATGGCAGTAAGTTATTCCTTCACGTGGGACAACGTCAGGGTTAAAAGCCAAAACCTGAATTTCACTCTCCGAGTTACCCATGTTTCATAATTCAACTTACAAAATACAAGACTTAAGGCAGGGATTCCAGAACTGAAGTCAACTGCACATATTGCATTTCTTCCCCCATAGTGCATCACGCAGTTTTTAACTTTTTGACAAATAAATAAAACACACGCAACATTTACTCATTTTGCAATTTGTGAAAAATAAGGTTACGTGTTGTAAAACTATTTTTAAGCGAAATTTAAAAATTTGCCTTCGGTCGGACGTCCGTTTCTGTTCATATTGCGTCCAGCGGCAAGAAAAATAGTCAAAAGGATTTTAATTACTTTTAACATATTTGTAACTAAGCATGTTTATTGAACATTTACAATAATTTAATTTACAGAATAATTCATTCCTCAAATTAACCGTTTCATTGGCTTGGTACATCTTCATTTGGAAAGCTTCTCGTCATTCAGGAGCATAGAATATTTTAGATTCTTGTTAATGTCTAGATTTATGTAATTTTAACATCTCTGGTTTCTGTTACAGAATTAAAAATATTGATTTTTGAAATTATATATTTTGCGAAATCATTAACACAATTAGCTTGTGAACTGTTATCAGCGTGAAAGAAAATGAAGTAACTCGAATAACTTTCACAATAGTTTATTAATTTTACAGTTTTAAAAGAAGGTCTAGAAGTCTTTCCTACTGTGCACTTTTAACTTCCTAACCAGCAATGGATGTGAATTAACGATAAACATCTCATGACCATGGTCATGTCGAAAAGATTAACCCTTAGCATTCGTCCGCTGAAACTTCAGACATTTTGCCAAATATTGCAAATGCTTTTTGAAGATTGACAGCATGCTACCTTAGGCGACCTTGCAACCTGTTGGAGCCGGCAACATGTTCCATCTGTAGCACAGGAACTTCCCTTTATCTACCAACCATTAACATTTTCAAATAAATTTGTTCAAGAAAGATTTCAGAATCCGCTGTTTACGAGTCTACATCGTGATATCCAATACGTAACTAATTAGAGTTATAAAAAAAAGTAAATTATATTTCGTGGAATAAAGTTTCACTCTCACTATGGTCTTATTTCACATTCTAAACGATCTTAAAATAACGACCCTCAAAGCAAACAATTTAATTATTTTTCCCAATGCAACAGTAGGAGACGAACACGTACTATACCTGATTTTATTTTAAACAAAAAAAACGGAGTTACCAAAACGTTGCAGCAGATAAGACACTCCTTCATGAACAAACTAACTCGTCAATTAAATTTTACAAGGCAAGCCGCCATTTTTGGCATACTTCACGATGCCAAGAAAGAAGAATTAGTATGATTTACATTTTTCTAAAATTCATAATATACAAGTTTCCTTGTAAAAGGAAGTCAAATAGAAAATAAAATAAAAATACTCATTTGAACTGAGGCCTACCTTTCGAGCGTTCCAAAAGCTCAACGCAGTCAACGAGTCCACGAACTACACGTTCCGGGACCAGCCCTCCACTGCTCATGATTCCCCAACAACTAATGCGATGAACATAACCTCTGGTCCGTCGACACCCGTTCACAGTACGTGATTGGCTACAGCCGAATCGCGGTGCGAGCTCATTTGAAACCAAAGAGAATATATTGGAGTATTGAAACCGTAAGAAAAAGGCCGTAAATGAAAGTTGTTTGATGAAACTTGTAAGAATTATTAATAATAAACATTATTTAAGCTGTTATCATATTTTAAGTTAATTTATTTTTAATGGTTCGGTTTCCAAGAGGAGTATGAGTTACATATGACTTACATCTGATGGTACCTAATGAATGTTCCTTTCGAAACGTTCGATATCAGGATTACTGATTCAATGCAGTGTCTTGAGTGAGAAATAAATTATAATATATTAATAATCTACTATTTTTAAAAAATAAGTCAATGAATTCCAGCTATTTTAACATAACCGATTGCCAGCATAATCATGTATTAAAATAAAAACAGAAAAAATTGGTTTATTAAGCTAATTGGTGGTACATTATTATTGGAATTTGTTGTATATTAAATTAATGTCGTTTTTTTATTCTCTTTCAAAAATGGAGATCTAGCAGACCTATTTCCGTTTAGAAGTGATGAACGTGGCTTCTACTCTGCTGAGAAATTCGACAAGATTATAGTTATATGTATACAATATAAATATAATGTTATAACGTTATAGCATATTATTATATTGTATTATTATGTTCTTATTACATTTTAATTGGGTCTTAAAATAAATATATAATAGAAGACTAGAAGCCTAGTGAAATAAAATTCCTAAAGTGGGTGTCAAGATATTCAAAACTAGACTGTGTGACAAACAATAATGTAAGAGAAGAACTTAATATATACGCCATCAATGAAAACGTTAAACATTTAGAGAAAAAAGGCTCTTACATGTACACAGAATTAAATCCTCAAGAGTTCCACGAGCAATGTTCAATTATATCTCTCAAGGAAGAAGAGATATTGGTCGACCACCAAAAAGATCAGCAGGTGCAACATACATCATTGCCTAAGCATAAAGAAGAAAAACAAGAAGAAGACGATAATTATTAGTAAGTGTTCATTGAAGAAATTGCTGGGTTTCTTGAAATATGCAAATGCAAATTTGCAAATTCCAAAAATACAGAGTGTTCAACGAAAACTGAACCTGCGTCTTTTTTTTTACAAATGTACTTCGAGAATTGAAATGCAAATGCCAGGCTGAGAAGAGCAAAGTTGTTTTAGGCAGACGAGAACGATTTGCACCACGTGAGTTGGGCTGCGAAAGTACTCATAGGGTGAAAATATAGGCTCAGTTATACTTGTGTCTGTGTGCCTGAAAACCTAATGTGAAAACCGAATGTGAAAGCCCGAATGTGAAATGCGTGCCCAAATGTGAAAACGAAAATAGTTGCGACTCCACAACTGAAGCTGCGAAGGCGGAGAGGCTCTAGTTTCGAAGCCCGAGGTCGGCGGAATTTCCATTCCAGCTAAACCACTGGGTCGAAGATAATCTCTAGCTGGAACATGTCTACTCTCCGTATGTTCTGATGGTGGTGTTTGTAGCTTAATTCTACTAGTTGTAGGTAGAGGATGAAGGTGGATTACCTAAACATAGGGACGTGAATCACGCGCTATCGCATTAACTGAACCTCACCATCACAACTCAGAAAATATCGAGCTTTTCACCAAACACACAAATATATCAAAGACAAACATAAAAACGTAAACAAACTTATGTAACTTCCACCTCTCAACCATAAATGCAATTTGGTCTGTTTTGCAAACTCCTTTATGATATAAAAAACCTTAATGAAGCCACTAATGCTCTAAGTATATCCCTTTAGAACAAATGCATTAATCACATCATCAATAAACTCCAAATCATCCAGAATAAATATCGCAGACTAGTCACAAATTTTCTCTGGTTCATAAGTAACAAACCACTTAATACATAATTAAACAATAATTCAATAATAAAACAAGAAGACCACATATCTTATAATTTCTACAAAAAAATACCGGACAGCCTTCCAGTACAAATAACTCAACTGCCAGCACTATCGAGAAAAAATTCCCATTTCAAGCCTTTTAGTTTTTTTAAAATATAACTGAAGATCAAGACATTTAATCTAGAGACTCTCTCTTTTTGTATCATCCCCAAAGATAGAATACTTTAGCTAAGAATTTCACCTAATGCAAACCTGTAAATAAACAAATACAAGCTTTGATCGCTTTGTGCTAATACAAAATAGTTAAGTATTATGTTATAAAACGTCGCGAGATCATTCCTTTTTCAATCTATTTCCGTCCCCATTCTTAAGAATATACGATGTATTTTCTCCAACATAAAGCTTTTAGAAATAATGGAACTTGGATAACAATTCTCCAGAACAGTTTTATTCCCAACAGTCAATGGCAAACTTGATAAAGAAACATCCTTACAACTTAAGTCTTGAGGAGTTAATTTACACCAGTTGTGATTAATGTTGATATATATTATGTAGCATTCCAATTAAAAAATATTAAAATTTTTGAATTGCTATTAAATTATTAGTATATTTACTTTCGTGCGTACATGATAATAAATTCATTACCTGCTGTTGGGACATATTAAGGTTTTTGAGAGAGCCATCGTTTTGTGGCGTCAAACCCTAGGGCGCAGCCGGCAGACGTAAGCGTGTTGGCCGTAAGGCGTCGAAATTGGCTGGTGACGTTAATGCGGGAGGGTGAAACACTAAGACCAATAGGGACTAATTCAATAATAAAACGAACATAAATAACCAGTGGCTATGTGCGGGCTGCGCGGAGGTGAGTCCAGTGAGCTAGAAGATGAGTCTACGACCCAACTGGTGGAAAGGATTACTCGTACAAACGGCTGGCCGGCGTACCTAGTTGGATACACGGCACAGCGGGTAATGTTGGGAGTCTGCGGGTTGGCGAGCGAGTTCGAAAGGTGGGGGAGGCACGCTGTCACGTGATCCCTCGATATTTAAATAAGTGGAACATGCCGCGTCGGAAGATTTCTCGGGTAGAGAGATCTCCGTGCGAATGAGCAATTCCTCCACTGATGTTGTTGTGATGGTCTCAATCTTCGGTCTTGAGAGGTGTAGGTTTTTTCTCGGTACTTGGAGGTCAGGAGCGGCGGTGTTGTGTTCACTCTGGGACTCCTGAATAGTTTCTTCAGGAGTTTTGTAAATAATGAATACTTCTTTTCTAAAGGTATATAAACCTGCAGAGAAAAAAACTCCCTGTCTATAAAATTTATTTTATCTTGATTTTTAATTACCATAAGCAGGCGCCAGATGCAGTCAAGAGACTTTTTTAGCGCACATAAATTATATTTTATATCCCAGCACTCTCCCTGTGAAAATAGTTCTGTTTTGCTATAACCTTAGGGTGTCTCACAGCGCTTCTCAGCTATGACTCTTCTAATGCAACATCATTTATGCTCATGAAGTTTCAACGCTTTACCCTCTAATATTTTTCTCGAACCATGCATTACTGTTCTGTTGCCAAAGCTGCTGAGGTAAAGCGTTATCGAAAAAGTACCTCTTATTACCCGTTATCTTCAGATCAGGAGCTAAAAATGAAAATGAAAATCACAGAATAACAAATTATACAGAGAAAGTACTAAAAAATGTATCAATAACCAAAGAACTCACCAAAGCACAAAAAATGCAATTACATTAATATAATTCGACACATATTGAAGTAACTTTCTGTTCTTGAGTGTAACAGCCCTTCACGAGAAGTAAGTGGAAAATTCGAACTCGTTAAAAAAGAGAACATTACGTCCAATTCTTTCTAAACAAGAGACCGGCGTTTTTCGGGCGCCGCGAGGAAGATTCTCGTCAGACTCGGTCGCCCCGGAAGTTTGGCGACGCTAGTGGTGTGTAAGAAGCCGCGGGACGACCGCAAAGTGAGGAAGAAGCTCGGAGGAAATTGGAGAAAGAAAGAGAGCCCGCCTCAGGAAAAAAACGTGGATGATTTAATGCCGCGTTACATTAGAAGTTTAAGTTCGACTCGACTCGTCCCGAGTTCGCAGTTGGTTTAACGGCGACTGAAGTGAGAGAGAGGGAAAGAAACAGAGAGAGGAGGAGGAGGAGGAGGATGGGAGAGAGAGAGAGGGAAAGGGGATGGAGAGATTCGGGAAGTAGAAGAGAGGGGAATGGAGAGATGCAGGATGTAGGAGGGAGAGAGAGATAGGGGATATGCGTAATGGCAGAGGGAGAGTGCGAGGAAGACAGTAGGAGAATTCACGAGAGAGAAAACCCTCATCCAGAATCGTCTGAACCAGAAGTAGTGAGATGGGAAGGGGCGTGGGAGCGAGAGAAAGATCGAGAGTAAGACAACGATATAGAGAGACGGGAGAATTCACGAGATAGAAAACACTTGCGAACTCTAATCACCGGAAGAGGAAGTTGGGGAAGAGGGTTAATGAAAAAAAGGGAGCAAAAGCGGCTGTCTGAAAGGAGGGCAAAGGTCAACTATTTTGTAAAATCAGATTGAGCTAATCTGTGACTTTCTCCGAACTCACACGATCGTATTCATTAGTATAACACTAAACTAGAAGATATTAAAGTGAGTTTAACTACTGACATTCCGAAGAACAATGTGATTCTTTAGGAAGGAATTTGAGGGAACAGTTTTTATCTTTATGGAAATCACATGATGTCCCGCTTAACATATTACTATATGCCAAAGATAAGACTTTTCAATTCTGTTACTCATTTTAGAAATCCCTCACTTGCAGATGCAACCATTTTATTCAAGCCAAATGTGTTGCTTCAAATTTGCCGAAGGATAATTAACATAATAGTTGAGGACTTTTGAAGATGTAGTTAGAGCGAAAGAAAGAAAAAAACGTTTTGTTGATATACGAGGATCACTCAGGTCGTTAACGATCCCCGATTATTTTCTCTAATTAAAGATGTTTAGTGCCTCGAGAGGCGAGATTTTAATAACCTTGACGGAATGGATATGAAAATTAGCATCTGATGACAAACATCATTATGGATTTTATTTGCAAAGGCAGGT